CGGAGGTAGGTGGCCTTGGCCTGTGCCCTGACTAAGGTCACTAACTCACTGTGTGAACTCAGGCAAGTCCCTTATACTCTGCGGGCTGGGGGAGGGTTGAGGATGGGATAATTGCAAACACCTCTTCAAGCTTCAACACTAGATACTGAAAAGGTCCAGCTTCCCCGCCACAGCCCCTCGGGCTCTGTCCTGTGCGCAGCGCGAAGGAGAGGGGCTGCGCTGCCAGCTTGTGCTACTGGTACCGCCAAGCTGGAAACCCTAACCTTTAAGTCGTGAGAGTTCATTTGTCCTCAGGACTGGAATGGAATAGAAGATCTGGCACAATCCCAGTATTTTGTGAATTAGGAGGCTGAAGTCAAAGAGAGAAAAGCCCCCCCGCCCCCAATGTTTCCCGCTGTTTTATTGGTGGTGGCTCTGGAACCTTAACTCGGAGCTCTGGACCTGAAGTCCAGTGCTCCCGTGCCAGCCCACCCTGCTTTCCTTACAAAGTTTTCTTGGCCCACTACCTGCTCATCTGGACTTTCTGTCCCAGCTTCCCCCCAAAAGAGGCAAAAATCCTAAATGAACTCCAAGAACTAACATCCCTCACACCCAGTGCCTTGGAAAGCCCAGCTCCCTCTCCTGCATGAGGAGTCCTGGAAGTCACCCTCTGGTTTAAGCTGATGTGAAAGATGTCGACAGTCACGACTGAGAAGCAGAGGAAGCTGGGTCAGGTATGGGGATCACTCTAACCTCCTAAGTGTGGGGACCGTTGTGAAAAATGAAGAGTCTCAACAGGGGACCCCACAGTCTTCCTCCAGACAAGTGTGGAACCAGAATCTGCCTCTTCTTTCCTCCACTGGCAATGACCACCGCTGCCAGGGCCACGGGAACCTATTTCAGACGTGTAGCAAACTCTCGGTTATCTGTGTGAGTGAGGAGGAGGCATTGGGAAGTGGAAGAAATGAGTTAAGAAACAAAAACCACACGGGAACCTTAAGCGATCCAAAGCCACTTGCTCATACACTGCATTTGTGATGAGAAAGGCGAGAGTCCACTTTTCCAAACACTCCGGGCCCAGTCCACACTTGGCGATGGAGCCTGCTTTCCCTGAGCACACCCTGGCTGGGCAGGGGACAGGCCTGGGGAGGTGTTGGGAGGGGGGGGTGTGGACAGAGAGACTGAATTGTCCCTGGATGTAAACATAACCATGGAAACCCCACAAAGACTCGCCAGGAAAGCTTCCTTCCCCTCTTCCGCCTGCAAGAGCAGGAGGGAGGACACCCACCCCGAGCCTACACGGTGCTCTCCATCACCCATTCGGAGCTGCCGAAAGTCCCCCGGGCCCCCACCAGGTCACTCTCCTCAAAGGGCAAGAGCATGCCATTGACAGAGAGGCTGCGCTTCGTCCAGATGTTCGAGACCCTGCGGGGGGGGCTGTAGCCACCTGGCCCGACCCCTCCTGCTGCCACAGCTGCAGCTGCGAAGTCCCCCATGTCGAAGGAATGGAAGGAATGGCTGCGCTTGGCCTTGCCCTCCAGGGGCAAGGGGAGCAGGCTCCTGGCCCGGGCCGCAGGTGGTCCCAGCAGCGGCTCTCGGTCCGAGTGGTGGCCCCTGGCCGAAGTCCCAGACTCCCTCCCGCCCGGAGTCCTGGAGTCCAGCAGCTCCTCCTTTCTCTGACTCTTGAGGTCCAGGGAGGCAAAGGCCCCCATCAGGCGGTCAAGGTTGGGCTTGGGGCGTGGGGCTGGGGGCGGGAGCCTCCAGGGGCCCCGTCCCAGTCCCAGTGCGGCCGTCTCCCCACTGCCCAGGGA